TTCCTTCGAGGGTGCCCTTTTTCACCTCCAAAGCGAGCCCGAACCACGACGAAAACGGCCCGCCCCCCGAACCTATGTACTATACTTTCCATTCCTACCTCCTATGAGAGTGGCTGCGATGTCAACTTCACCACTTCCAGCTACTCTTTCTCCACTTCGTCCCCTCCCTTCTCAGGTTTATACAAATATATATATAGATATATATACATTTTGTTTGTGACATGTTTGTCCGGGGTGCTCGTAGCTGCATGATTCACAACGATTGAGTAACAAATATTTGAGTTTTCATGAGAAAGGACATTTATCCAAAGTGAAGTGAAGCCAAGGCAACCAGCGTTTCCTTTGCGGTAGCCATATTTTGCGGGCTCGGCCCTAAAGAGTGTGGGCCTGAGTGTCCTTTGTGTTCTCCCCCAGGGAGAAGTGATATGGTACTTAATGACTGCATGAATGTCGAAACGATTGCCAAGGCCTCTAGCTGCACTCCGTCGATGGCTCCTTGCCATCACAGAAAGTGTGACCGAGGAGTAAAACTCGACGGTCCGGCATGCTCACGCCTACAATCACTGCTCAATCCCATACTAGAGCTGATTTCTGCGAGTATCTATGCAAAGGGGTGTCTGCTACGTTCTTAGAATCATATCCGTGCTGCCGAAGATTTTGGAACTTCAAAAGCCATCCAGCTGTTTCACTTGCTGTTTGGCTCAGCTTCTTGTGAGCCATGGAGTTAACAATTCCAAGCACAGTCGCGCCAGGCCTGGAAGGGATGGAAACAGAGTCTGCGCCCTGGGGATGCTGCCAATTCGTCCAAACGTTTCTGAGGCCTTCGCGGAGCCGCTGGCCTTCGCGGAGCCGCTGGGACGGCACAGAGCTCAAGCGCATCGCCCAATGGATTTGCCCCAAAGCCTACGTTGGCGGCCCTCAGTGTGGGCACTGGAATCTTCCTGGCTCACAAAAGCAGCTTGGCGGGCTTGCTCAGCCCCAAGAGTTTCGGAGAGAATGGACGCCAGCACCCTTTTCTCCCAACAATGTAGAAGTCTAAGCTGCTGATCTCAACCGTTTAGTCAGCTGAGCGGGCATAGACAAACTCTGTTCTGGTGTGCTGCACACCTTGGTCGCTCTGCTTGGTTCTGAGGGAGGCGGGCACCAATGAAGGCAAGTGGCAAGACGCAGACTATGGAGAGACCGCTCCTGGACAACATGATCACCTCGGGAGTGAAGGCTGGGCCCACCGAGGCATATGAGTATTTTGATTCGTTCAGACCACCCCACGTGCCACCGCCCGAACTCGGGCGCCTACGGAACGACGAGCGCAGCCAGGCATTAGAGGCTGCGGAGCTGGGTCGGGTGAAGTCGGCTTCGGAGAAACCCAGTGACGAGAATGGAAATTGGGGCGGAGAGCCCCGCGATGCTTGACAGATCTGAGGTGGTGAGGATCTTGGGGAAAGGAAAAACCCCGTGTTTCAGTTTGCCGGTGGTAATTACACATGAACAAGAGTTCAGCTTCAAGAATATGCAAGGTACTGTCCCACCCATATTAGAGTATATGTATGCTACTATATATGATAAAATGACCCTATGGCCCTATCTGTATTGCAGTCATATACACATATAATTACACACGTATACAGATCTGTATTTGTAAGTAATACTTGCCTCTCCACACAGCTATCACCGTTGTGAGCAAGCATCATGTATCCAACGCTTTAGAAGAACTTGCCGTGTGAACTCCCACAAAGGCGAGCGAGCGAGCGAGTGGTGCATCTTAGGAGTGGGCCAACTCAGACTCTGTCACACAGCAGATCTCTGTCTTGTCCCAGATGAGGCCCCTTGCTCAAGCCAAGCAGTTCATTGCGGACACGTTGGCTGGGGACTACGACAGAGACAGAATATCCAAGCTGATTGACGACAAGATCAACTCCAATAAGTCGTTTGTCTGCAAGTTTGACGAACAAATCCCATCACAGCTGCCAAGCACACGAGATCGGCACCGGTTCCCAAATGCGAGTGTCTAAGGATTATGATGTTTTCATTCTCAACATGTCCGTTTTGCTTGAGAGCCAAACAAATCCTGGAAGAAGACTACGGCGAGCAGTTCGAAGTGTACGAATGTGACCTGGAGTCCGTTGCTGGGTCTGCATGTTTTTAGTCCACCAATTCGTCCAGAAAGAGTTGCTCCAGCTTTCTCGGTTTCTTCTGGAAATCCAGCCGCAGAGCCCAGCTCATGCCCAGCTCACGCCTAGCTCCTGTAGGATGGTTATGCCGTTCGGGCTGAACTTGGACGGCGCACTGGACGCACTTCGATGCCTTCCACTTGGCTGGGCTCAACCACCTTGCTAGGGGGCTGCAACGATGGTGGCCTAGGAGAGCTGGTGGCACTGGTCAAAACCCCTTGGTAAAGGCGCTTGGCAAGGGGGCAAAAGCCCGTGTCCCATGGTTACGGTGTTTTGGGAAGGCTTTGTACATCCGCTGAAAAGGGAGTTGTCCAATTTCCGCAGAGCCTCTAATCCAAAGACCCTGCAGGAGGAGTGGCGACCCTTGACAAGGATGGTCGTCTTGCAAGTCTGTTAGCAGAGCGGCAAAACACGATGAGAGCCTCGGCCCAATGTTCTCCAACTGAGAAAGAACCTGAACATGGACCTTTGGAAGACTAGCTTCCTCCACAAACAGGTGGCTTTCAGGTTCCATGTGGGTCTCTTCCAGGGTGCAACACGAGCTACATCGGTTCCAATATGTTCCAAGCGTTAGCTCTTTGACAAGCTCAGAAGGTTTTATCAGAGGGCTTTTTCACCCAAGGAAGCTGGTTTATGCTGTGGGAAGAGTTTGAGCACCCCCGACTGGCCTGTTTTTATTCTTGAAGTTCTTGACCCGTTGCTGGGGCAGACTGGAGATGGGAATGTCGGAGAGCATGGCTGGAGAGCAATCCAGGAAACCATTCCTACAGAGCTTTGCTCTTTGTACTCCGGCTCGTGCGGTAATTATAAACAAGGAACAACACGTTAACAGGCTAATAGGGTGGCTGTTAAACAGTTTGAGCTCGATCAAATCATACTGTATCTCAGCTGTTGGAAGCTTGTTCTATATTGCCTTCTCCACATATATCGCATATATATCGCTCATTGCTGGCTGAGAAATGCTGCCTTATGGGGCAACTGCTTATTTTCAGACTTTTCATCTGCTTGTCCAGGTTGAAGACCAGCATGGCTTGTAGTCCTTGCAATACCTTCTACAAGGTAATCAACATAGTGAGAGATTCTCGAACGTAGGTGTGAAACCCGGGAAATCATGCCCATATAAACAATTATAGACATGTTGATTTCCTATGAACGTCAGGGAACGTGGAGAAAATAGTGTACAGACGTTTGGAATATATATATATATATATTTGTTTTTCCCCAACAGCGAAGCTAGGGGTCTTCAGCCATAGTAAAGGCTTCGGAGCAGATTCGGAGCAGGCTCCGGAGTGGGTTCCGTTCCAGAGCAGGTTCCGGAGCAGGTTGCGGAGGAGGTTCTGGAGCAGATTCCGGAGCAGGCTCCGGAGGAGGTTCCGGAGTAGGTTCCGGAGGAGGTTCCGGAGTAGGTTCCGGAGTAGGTTCCGGAGTAGGTTCCGGAGGAGGTTCCGGAGCAGGTTCCGGAGGAGGTTCCGGAGCAGGTTCCGGAGGAGGTTCTGGAGGAGGTTCTGGAGCAGATTCCGGAGCAGGTTCTGGAGGAGCTTTTGGAGAATATCCGAAAAAAGGCTCCGGAGCAAGGTCCGGGGCAGGTTCCGGAGTCGGTTCCGGAGGAGGTGTGAAATTGGCCTTGAGCTCTTGGGTACTTCTCTTGGGCTTACTTTTTTAATCATCCACTTGGAGTTTGCACATGGCTTGACTGCAGGCCCTTTCCCGCCTCTACAGTGGCTTGCCTCCTTTGGTCAATCTGACCAGCAGCAGACTCTGTGCAGCGCAAGAAGGCACGAACTGCTCCGACTGCTCCGATCGACCGATTCTGCCAAACGTCTTGAAACTTGGTCTTGCCGTCGCACACCTCTTGTGGCCCCCTGAAATCTGTGAGGCTTTGGTGGCTGCCTGTGATGAGGTGTGCGGAGTGAACAAGTCGTGATGTTTTCATATGCTTTCCATGTAGGAATCAATCGAAATGAACATGCCACCAGGCCCCAAAGAATGGTGTTGGCGCCAGCGAACTTCTTCAGCAAAAGGCACGATGCTTTTGGATGGGGAACCGGATTTGGCAGCAGAAATAACACTAGAGTGGTGATGGGTAATCTGTGCAGTCTTTTTAACTGACGAGGTCACCAGTGAAGTGATGAATGATCAATTTCAGCGACATGTTGACACACTTGCAATTGATCCTCTCAGTTGTCACGTTTGTCCACACCCCGTGTGAGGAAGAATAGGAGCTGCTTGCTATCCCAGCTGTTTTGAACTGAAGGAAAGACATGTCTACTTCGTTTTAGAAAAGAAGTAAGGATGACAAGCGTCATATTGCTGGACCGCCTTGCATTGCTGGACCCCCTCACAGGTGGAATCTGCTGCCGTAGATTTGGAGGCTCTTTGTCCAGGGCAACCGGCCAAGACCAAGCTCAGCGGAGTCTGGGAAACATGGCGAAAGGAAGACGCCACAAGTTGCAGAGTTACTCCCACGGACAAGACCATTGCTTTAGTAGGGACCCAATTACATGAGAGTTCAGAGCTCTGGTTTGAAAAGCAGCTCAAAGGGCCAGATTTGAACCGATCTGCTTTGAGGACTTGCTGTACTGCATCTTAGACAGCATTTGGTCTGCACAGAGATGCAACTTTGCGGCAGCTGACACCTACACTAGGCACCGCAGAGGGCGGCTCCAACGGCAAAATTGGTCCTTTGGTGGGTGATGTCACGTAGCTTGGCCGCCTTGGCTTACTATGTGCGCTGAGACTTCTCGCGGCCTTTGCACAGTTGTTTGCGAGACATCTGAGGCAAACGTTTGTGGATGAGAAACGCTTCGTCAATGCTGTTGACTTTGGCCCATTCCGAGTGGCCCTCCAGGCTGACTAAGACGACTAAGAACGGTTAGTTGAGTGATTGAACAACTGGTGCCAGCTTGGGAGGCCGAGAGAGAAATCGTGGATGACAAGCAGATTAGGCGCGGTGTTTCTTCGTTGATGTAGCGTCAACTTGATAGGTACTGGGCACAAGTCCACAAGTCTCTAAACATAACTATATAAACTAGATTCACGCCGCTCCGCGACAAGGTCCGCCCGCCGCCATGAAACAGTTGCCCAACAAAAACGGCGAATAGCGAGGTTTTTGAGGTTGACGTTGCCGAAAACGCCACTAAGTACCGTATTTTTCAACCACTGCAAATAGCAATGTTTTTGAGCTTGCCGTGGCCCAAAACACCGCTATTTACAGTGCTTTTGAACCTGCTGTCAAAAAACACCTCAATTTGCGACGTTTTCAACAACATGGTTGCCAAAAACACTGCTGCTACTTGCGGGGTTTTTTACACTTTCGCACAAAGAACTCAAGCCTCGGCAATGTACAAAAACACTGCAAAAGCCAATGTTTCTGCCCAACAAAAACGGCGAAAGCCGTCACCCAAACAGCTCCGAAGTCACAAAATCTGGCCTCCCGGCCTCCCGACAAGACACATGGAAAAAATATGCGTCTCAATCCGAAAATCGAAGGCCAAAAGTCAAAAAACACACTGTGTTTTAACTTTTCTCTTGCCGGTTCCGGGCGGGCACGTGCACGAACTAGTCCATTCCGTGCTGTAAAAAACAGTGTTTTTGGAAGTTCGCCGTCGTGACCTATCAAAAACCCATGGTTTTGGCAAAAAATAGCCACACCCCAGGTAAACCTGTACCTTACAGTTGTTTATGCCATCCGGATGATCACGCCGTGAGCACTGGATTTCAGGAAAAAACCACAAGAATTCGTGACCCTCTTCTACCCTGGGCTGCTCAGGGTGAAATTCAAGGAGACCGTGTTCTCCATCTTCGGGCTTGAGATCTTCCGAAAGGCGACCAAAGGCGAACTTCGGGCCGAAAACGAAGGACAGGGGTAGGTGGAACCTCAAATCCATGTGGCGGATCATTCAAGTCAATGCTGGGCTTTTCTGAGGGCTTACCCTCGTTCAGCTGTCTTTGAAAAGGGCGTTTCGTCAATCCTACAGCTGTGCTGCAGGTGCTGGAGTCTGGACCCAACGCTTTGTTGATCCTGGACTCCGGGTGATGAACACACCTTCATTGTTTGTGCTTCGCAAGCGACGAGCGTAGGATGTTTTCTGATGTGAAGATGCTGAATTCGCGAGCTCTCAGCTACGTCGGTGCAAAGTATTTTAATCCATCTGCGCCTCTCAAAGCTTTTATGTTTTCCGCAGATGGTCAGGGATGCACCACAGGTGAGGACAAGCGCTCTAGCATGCAGTAATTTTCAACAGCTGTGCTGAAGCACCAAAGTGAGCCGCTCCAAACATCGTGGAGCCTTGCACATCATGCTTGTTATACTGGACACAGCAAGTTTTTCATGCTGCTCAGCTGCTCACAGCTGTGGAACCTAAACCTGAGCTAGATCCGAAACACTGCGCTGGGTTACGGCGCCCCGTGCTGTTTGTCAAGTTAACCGTTACCTTTGTATGCTTTTGTTTTTGTCTAGCCTAGCCACCGTTTGGCCCAAAGAGACAAGAGAGAGAGACAACCAGGGGCCTCAGCCCTTATAGCAGGCACATGGGTCTTGGGTTCAATTCGAAGCTTCAGTCGAGCTTCTCGCGAGACTGCGAGTTCATGATATGTTCATGTGCCTTGGAGCTGTCAGGTTGAGGTCATGAGTAGGTTCGGCATGGAGGAGTACACCACGTTCTTCCTCAAGACTGAGACTCAGTTTTCACTGGACTGCTACGACGCGACTTGCAGTTTTGTTCGGGCGACCAATTCACAGGGTAAGGGCGAGGTTTGAGATTTCAGCTTTGTGGCAGATTTTTGGTCGCCTTGTTCTTCCTCATGACCTTTGGACAAGTTGGCCCCAGCCTTGGGGAAGATTCTCAACCGAAACTGCCTGTGGTTCTGTGTGTACGTTGAGGTCAGTTGGCCTACTGCTGGTTAATGACGGGCGGGTGATATTCTCAGCAGAAGTTAGAAGTTGAAACAATTGCTCTTTGTATACAGTTGAGCTCCGAACCCCAACCCCCACATGGATGGTTTAAACGGAATTATTACAACCATCCAGTACAAGGGCTTGGCCGTAGCTCGTTTGCACACAAGAAGATTGAACGGCGCTTTTCAGGCTCTCGTACTGGGTGATGACGTCCGGACTGGGCTGTCTCCTCGGTGACTTCAAGCGGCTTCCTGTTCGGAACCATCTCTTCACTCTCCACTGAGGCTTCACCTCTGATGATGCCATCGCCACCATTGCCACAGTTTTCGGAGTACGCCACAGATTCTCTTGCCCAGAAAAACATAAAGGAAACGGCAACTCAACTTTGGCTCCTAAGTAGGACATGCGGGTGAAAAGGACATGTGACATGTGAGTTTCAACGGTCCTTCTGTAGCCGAAGACCCAACGGCTCCGTCCTCTCTCAGCTCCGTGCGATTCCATTCCTCTACAAGCGACTGATCACCTTGGCTGCAACATATCCCTTGGCGCTCACCTTCAGGCACATCCATGCGAAACGAGATGAGACACTTGTTTTGACACAAGCTCTTTTTTACGCAAAGGGGAACACTCAAGATCTATAACATGCAGACAACACACAATGGCATTTGGGAACTGGCAAGCCCATCCTGTGCAGATTTGCTTCGAAGATTCTGCCCAAGTACACGATAGAGGAGGCAGCGTCAGTCGGATGAGTCACTTCACTGACTCCAGACTGGCACAGTCCAAACATGTCCAAACTTAATGACTTAGACTGTTGATGCACAACCCTCCCCTATCAGGATGGGTTTACATCTCCAGTCATGGGTAACCTCCATTTTTATTCATCAATGGTCAATGGTTTGATTTCCCATGGAGGCGCAGTTCTTCTCCTGTGACGGCTGCTCGGATGAAGTGGCGGCCCGCCGAAAGGCCGGGCTGAAACAGCGTTTGGCTCGACAGTTGCCGCCCGAAAAATCGGGGGTTTGGGATGGTACCATATGCCCGATTCTTTGAGTCACAGTGAAGTAATCACTGAAGACTGAAGATGCTTTTTGATGCCTGGGCTGCAAGGCTTCACTTCAAGAGCTCAGCGAGAAATGGAAGAAGAAGTATCCGAAGTGAGTCTTGACATGAACTTCATCAGTCATCAGTCGACATTCCGAAGCATTGTGAAAGAAAAGACACAGAAAAGATACAGATTTGAACGAAAAGGACAACGAAAACATTTACTTCACCATTCAACTGTATGGGAAAACAACGAACACTTGCACCTTCAGCTTGATTCCCATCCATCGTCTCGACCGTGTCATTACCAAGGCCAAGAGTTCTCGCTGGAGCTGGGTTCTGCATGAATACGTAGCTCAGCACCAGTGCATCGTCTACTGTAGCTCAGCAACGTTGGGATGTGTGAATGAACGGTTGCTTAGACACGTCACTTACTCACTCAAACAAACAGTAGCCGATGTTGTCACGTTCCTTGATCTTCTTGTTCTTTTTGTGCAGGAGCTGAAGAAGATGATCTCAGACTTGCGCTTCACTTCCGCGTGCCTCGTCTTGTTTGTTTTCTTTCTTGTCTTTTCTTTTTGAAGACCTTGGCACATCCATCCCTGAAGTGCAAACGACATGGATGTGCTAAGACTCTGCAAAGTTGTGCACTCGTCAGGCGCTGTTTTCCAGCCTTCAACGGGGTGGTGCAGAAATACTTGGATCCATCCATGGCGCTTGATCGCCACAAGCTAAGCGTTGGTCACCTTTGGTGTCTTTGGATTTCATGTGGTTTCCCACCTTGCAAAGGCTTCCTCCGAAGGGGCTCTCAGCCCAAAATTGGCTCAGGGTGTTGCCAGCAATCAATGCACACATTTACTGAACAACATGGAATTGTGTACTTGCACCACTCAGAGTGTGCTTTCTTTTTTTCCAAAACCTTCAATTACCCACCAGATCTGCATGTGAGCACCAAATCTGATCATAGCCACAGCACCGATGTGTTCCTTTTCCGCCATGTTTTTTGCACTGCAGAACCACGGCAGTACATGTACATCAAGCTGCATTCACCCATGACGGATGAACCTCATGACGGTGTCGATCCGCCGGTTCGAAGATCTCGCAAAAGGGATCGCTTGCGCCAAAGGGTGTCCTCTGGCTTGTCCAATCTGTCAGCTACATGGTCAAGGGTCACTGAGACTCTCGAGATTCGAAGGTCCAGAACTCTGTCAGCAAGGGATCCAAGTCCAGCCTTTGTGGAACTGACACCTCGCGAGCCTGACGCGGAGGCCAAAAGGCAGGACCTCTGGGAGAGCGTCGCCAGCCACATCGGCGACGAACACCTGTCGGTGGCGTGGGAGCGATGGAAGCGCTCCTTGGCAGGGGAACGGAACACCTTTTGGTCGAAGCTGGCCATCCACACCGACTCCCCCCGGCGCGACTGGGACCGGATCAGCCAAGCGGTGCGTTCAGGGGTTCCGGAGCAGTTCCGCTGCCTGGTCTGGACGGTGTGCACCGGTGCCACGACGAAGCAGAAAGAGGCAGCGTTGAAGGCTGCGACGCGCGAATCAGGGTCGCCGGAGGCCGTGGAGGCCCTGGAGACCTTGTATCCCCTCTTTGTAAGCGAGGGCTTGAAGCTGAAGAACGAGGCATCTGCAGTGATCGAAGTGGATGTTCCACGAACAGGCTGTCCTGAGGCCTTGTTGGAACCATTGAGACATGTGCTGTTGGCTTTTGCGGCCAAAAATCCAATACTGGGATATTGCCAGTCAATGAACTTCATAGCAGCCGCTTTGCTGCGCTACTGTGACGAGGAAAGCGCTTTCTGGATCCTTTGCAGTTTGATTGAGGACATACTGCCTGATGGCTACTACACCAGAAGCATGATTGGGATCCGTGTCGATATGCTCGTTTTGAATTCCTTGGTGATGAAGTATTTGCCACATCTTCACAATCACTTTGCTGAGTACGATGTTGATCTGTCTCCAGTCTCCATGAATTGGTTCCTCTGCCTCTACATCAACACCTTGCCGGACCGGCTCCGCGACCGAATCCTCGACTGCATTCTCCATGAAGGCTCCAAGGCGCCATCTCGGCTCAATCCTTCGCACGGACCTCGTATCGGCCGGCACGAGGTACCGGTTCGTCTCGTTCGTCTCGTTCGTCTTGTTCGTCTCGTTCTTCGTTTTTTTGGACCGGAGCGTTTGGATTCGTTAATGGCGAGGTCGGGGTTCGCGTGCTTTTTCGCGGAGGTTCTTGAAGGACGTGGTTTTTGTTTTGGGCCTCAAAACCAAAGGAGCGGGACCTCGCTTGATTAATTAGAAGTAAGAAGTGAAGGGTTCACGAATTGTGATGGGAAGTCCTTTTTCGGGAATCCACCCACTACTACTTTGCATGGCATATATACAGTCATTCAGCCGGCCACTAGTCTGTTTCCGGCAGCTTGGAGCCCCACTCCACTCACGCTCTGACTGAGGTGCTGTTCCGCTGTGCTTTGGGGTTGCTGCGCTGTATGGAGTCCTCCCTTTTGGGCGCGCAAAGCCTGGTGGAGATCTATGACATGCTTCGATCGCCCCCGGAAGAGTTCACAGCTCGAATGGCCCAATGGGAGAGGAGTGCAGAGAAGGGATGCGATTTCATGTCCGACTTCGTCTATGGCTCCTGGCTTCAGGGCTTCTCCTTAGACATCCTCATTCAGTTGAGAGCCCAGCATTTGGCAGCCATCACTGTGCAGGCATGGTTGTCAAAGGGGTGATGTCGGTGGTATTTCAGCCACAAAGAGAGAGAGCGGTTAAGCATGACAAAGCTATAGCTTGGTTTGAGTGGGGCCCTTTGGACCAGGTGCTTTGGTGAGGGCCTTTTGGTCAAAGGGCTGAAAACCCGCTGATCATGGTAGAGGGCTGGGGGCTAGGGAAAGCCTTGTCGAAATCCATTCAAGCCAGGATCATAGCTTTAGTCCAATGAAAGATTCTCCGACCGGAGTCAATCGTTTGGAACATGCTTGACCTCCCTCATGGTGGCGCTCACATGCTTAGCCTAGGGTGCTTTTGAGCTTTTGATCGGAGAGGATAGACTACCACTGACCACCATGTTTGCGAAGGTCATGCTCAAGGTTCTGTCAGGTTCAATGTTAGGTAGGTCATGCACTCTAGGACTCTAGGAACTGTTTTTCAGGTTCACCCATCAAGCACTCATCACGCACTCCCTGAGTGGAGTCCCGCATGTGTCCGAAAGTGAACGGAAATGGCGCATAAAGATGCACACAGCATGAACAAAAGCACTCAGCAGAAAGCTAGTAAGTATATAAGTAGACATACGCAGATATCTCCAATCAACTTAGCCAGACTTTTGTAAACATCTATATATATATATCTATATATACAAATATATATATATATAATTCTATAATATATATATATATAGTACATTATACACACATCATAGTTTTTGTTGTTTATGATGTTGATGTTGACCAAGAGACACATTTTTGGGCTTTGTCTTCCACTTTCTCTCGCAGAAAAGGACGAGTTGCTGGAAGCTCGAAGAGCCGAGCGGAGACGCTCTGCACAGCCAGGAAGAGGTGGAGGCCACCGAGCAACCCTTCGCAGACAGAGAGACAGGGATCGAAAAAGCCAGAGAGAGAAAGAGAGAAAGAGAGAGAGAGAGAGAGAGAGAGAGAAAAAGAGAGAAAGAGAGCAAGTTGAAGTTGAATGGGAAGATTTACTATGTTTCTTGGGCACTTTAAACAGCCGTCGGACGTGCCAGGTAGCCTAAATTCCCTATATGGATTGTAGCCCAAATGAGTCCTGTCAGTTTCAACGACATTTGTTACGTTTGTGCAGGCGAGGCTGTCAGCTCTGAGAGTTCCACTTCCCCAAGGGATGAGACACGAGGCTGTCAGGCCAACGAGCCAGCGGCTCAGCCGCATGACCCACAGCTCCGAAATTTAGAGAGCTGGATTGTGCTCGACGAGCCAGCGGTCGAGCCTCCCAAGCGAGCCCAAAAAGGATGCGAGCGAGTCCAGAGTCTGAAGGGATCAGAGTTCATGTGTTTATGTGTTGCCAACCAGGCCGGACCTCACAATTCATGCAACGACTTCGTAACTGCGCCAAGGCACAGAAGGTGTCGACGTGGTGGATATCGATGAGAACAGTGCCATGGACCCTGGTAATCTGGGACCTTTCGGGGAGCTTGAAAGGCATGCGGTCGACAACTGTGTACGTCGCAGGACATCTCCGGCTCGTATGGTGTCAACGTCTGTGGCTATGAGAAGTGCCAATGTCAGTCCTGGCGTTTCTTAACATGGTCTAGTGGAGAGCCTTACACGATTAGAAGCTTCACAGCAACTTCACTCGAGGTACAAAGAGTTCATTGAAGAAGGTTGGAAGACCGCCAAGAAACAGGGGTTGGACACCCCAGCTCGAAGTCTTGATGGGCATGTCCCTGCCACACCTAGTCACCAGCAAGGAGATGATATCAGACAAGTGTACGTGCAAAAAGCAAGGTGAACCTGTCAGTTACATTGGAAGCTATGATTGCGTAAGATTTGCTGACTTGTTGTCTTCATTACTAAAAACACGCGTCTTTACTTTATTGATCTGCATGATCCCGATGCACATCCCACTGTGAGGCTATTCTTGGGTTCCTTGGACAAGACAGTTGAGCTCTTGGTGCAGCTGAAGCCTCTCAGGTGGAGAAAACCACGATTTTGCCTTTTGAGGTCTTGGACAACATTGCCCGTCTGCGAAAGATCTCCGGCCAGCCTGAGGCGGCCCAATCTTGAAGATGAACCGAATGGTTTATGTCGGTGTAGGCAAAATAAGAACATCTATACTGAATCTATACAGACTGTTTGCTTCATGCCGAAAACGCATTTTTGGAGCAGTTCTGGAGCTGAAGAACAGCCAGTCATGGAGTGTTCATGAAGCAACTCGCTGGACGCCAAGCAGCTCTGGAGCGATTCCCAGGTGTCCTTCCACATGTCAGGCACCGAGGCCGTGATGTGCGCCCGGCCCTCGGTCGGGAGGGATCTGTCTCCGGGCACGGTCGGAAGACCCCGGTCGGCCGGGGCCCGAGGCGGTGCGGGTGGCGCGCTTCAACACGCGGAGGCCTTTAGTGGTGACCTTCGGCGGCGCGTGACCCTGCTGCAATTGAAACGCATCCACCCAGCTGCACGAGACTGGCTTTCTGGGATTTTTTGTTGTGTGGAACACACAGTTATCACATGTGATCACCGTGTATTTTTTCGCTGCGACGGAAAGTTGGGGACGGACGAGGTACCACGGTGGAGCCTCCTGGTTTGATGGCCTGCATGGAGCCATGTCTTGGTGCTTTCTGTGCGCCAGGTTGGTGGGATGGCATGCAGCCGGTGGCAGGCAACGAGCGCTTGCCAAGCGATGTGCTTTGCTTGAAGGACCTGGTCCTGTTGAGGTATATAATTGAAGAAAGATATTGCGTGGTATTTAAATTGGATTATTTGAAGTGGGGTGACCACTTCTGCAGAGGACATGAGCAATCTCTCTCTGAAAGTCATTGAGGCAGGTTGATCCAACCTAAGATTTCAGGTTGAAAGTTTCTCACCCCAGGCTAGAAGCAGCGAAATTGCGGCTGTGCTGGTCAATCCGTTGCAGTGCTTTCACCTCAACCAGTTGGAGCCTCTTCTGACGCGAAGCTTTCGCCGGAGCTCACCGGAGCTCACCCGACGCCCCGTTCACAGATCGCTTTTTCAGGTCACCACCAAGTGATCCGGTGCTCTCCTCCAACAACCGCAAGGCGCAGAAGGTCTCTTTTTGGGGACCTGAAAGAACTCGTTTCAGGTGGAGATTGATGTGATGTGATGTGAGGTGGGCCCAAGCCCAGGCTACAAGGAATGGTTGCATCGACTGTTGGAGACTTGGTGAGTTGAAGGAACTCTCACGACTGGCTGAAGAGTGGACATCGATATGTGTGTCTTGCGAAGCTTAAAACCGATATGCAGATCTCCAATCATATCCATGCAACACTCACCTCGCTATGCCTCGCTCTTGACCTGAGGCGAGACACCTGCAAGCAAGGAGGAATTCCCCTGATCTTCGATGAGGTGCGCTGCACAGTAAGGCTACAATGTGGAATTTGCTCTTTCAGCGGTTTCAAGGGTTTTTGAATGTTTTATGGGAGTAAACTGATCTCTCAACGCCGAGGTTTACACAGGATTCCGGTTGCATCCAAGAGGAGCTCAAGGTGCTTATGACGTGAAGGTGCTGACGTGGTCACTTCTCAATGACACGTGAAAAGAGCCAAGAGCTATGCGGCGTTTGCTTCAGGCTGACATTGTTTGCTACGGCAAGACGCTGGGTGGCGGCCTACCGATCGGCAAGGGCCGCAGTTGATTGGCTGCCGATTCTTGACCAGAATGAGCACGTCATAAATCATTGAAATGGATTGTGCAGGCTCAACTCACACTGAAGAAGCCTACCTACCATAAAAATATATGCATTAAATATATATAATAAATATTAAAACACAAATATATACTGTACATTTATATAGAGAGATAAAGATAAACCAATACCTGGAGCCTGGAGCTCCCCATTTTTCCCTCACGCTCCCTCTTCCGAACCCTCCGAAACAGGAGACGCCTCCCCAAGTATGCCGCTCCCTCCGCTCCGCAGGTGTGGTCTGTGGGCCAACGGATTTGATGGCTCGAGGCGATGCCCGAAAGGCTGCCCGGGTCAACTACGCGCGAAGCTGAGCTCTGCCGATGTGACCATAGTGAATGACCATATTTCATCCGAAAGATCGGTTTTAGGACGATGTTGCAGATGTTTTGTATTGCCAGCTGTTTGCTGATGCCGGAGGTCATTGGCACCTTTGCCGGTCATCCCTTCGTCATGGCCAGCATGAATGCCTTCTTGAAGTGGCTACTTGATCTCGATGGACTGCCAAGTGTCAATTGAAAAAGGAACAAAACGAGTGCCTTCATGCTCCTTCACGCAGATTCCACAGATCCCTGCCACTGTTCCTTCACGCAGATGCGGGCCCGCCATGCCCAGGTTGGAGACATCTGAAACCACGAAGTCCTACGATGTCATGCTGGAGACCCATTCGAAGCCAAGAACACACCATGGTGGGTTTCGGTGGTACAGCTTCTGAGGCACGGCAACATCGACAGCTTCATAAAGACAGCAAACGCGAAATTCCAGGAGAGTGTCCACGTCACTCCGCAAATGCCTAGTTCAGACATGAGAATTCCTGTGGCAGGAGAGAGGTTTTCCGATTCAGTTGACAAATTGGCCAGTGGCTCAAGATAGAGCTCTTCCACCAAAGCCGACCATTCGGTCGGCCGTCATCCGTTCGACGGAACATCGACGGGACGTGACGCTAACAGGTTTTCAGTGTGGTCGATTTTGTACACCAAGCCCGGCCGGGAGTCCCAGAAGATGCCACCGCTCATCGGAGTGAGCGACACCACCGGGTGTTTGCGTCGCCGCACCGGGTGTTAGCAGTTTTTAGGGCAGATGCGAGGAAGCAGGCCAAACCGGGATGCTGGAAATAGGGAATATAGAAAGAGTTCGGTCCATAATGGTCCCTCGTTGCCTAGGCCGATATCACTGGCTTTTCCAGTACTTTTTGAAGGCGGATGATCGGCAAGTTCAATAGACCCAAAGATGTTCTGGGCTGTCCAGGATGCCGGTGTCAGCCTTAGTTGGGTTGGCCAGCTCCTCAGTAATTCTGTGGCAAGAGACCAGAAGCGGCACTTTCCCCATGTTTCCCTGACGTTTTGAATCTTGGATCTGATGGGTCGTCAAATTCTAGGCACTGGCAGACTTCTTTTCTCCCTTGAATGGAAGAAGGAAGACTATGATAGGCACGCATGGCAATTCTTGCAAAGCACTTGGATGAGTTGGCACATTATTGGGCACTTGCCACCTCGGAGTTTGCCAGATTGCTTGAACGCTTGCTAGCAGCCTGTGAGCAGATGCAGAAGGGCGGCTGGTGGCTTTGCTTCGGCGTTGAATTGAGACTCCATGGAAGATCATGGATGACAATTTCGCTTTGATTGATTTAGATTTCTTTTTAAGAGAAAGATGTTGTGCCATGAACTGCTGCAGAAACCCAGCAGCCGGCAGCCAACCATTGATTTTTCTGTTTGATCGCCAGCGATACCTGCTCCGTCCCAGGTGGGAAGAACCGAAGGCCAATATCAAGGCAAAGCTGGGAGTCGAGATTGGCACCGCCTGGGTTCTCAGTGTTTTCCCTCTCCGGCGAATCGAAAGGAATCGGATATGGTATTTCATTGTTACTAGTAACTAGTAACTAGCAGCTTCTTGTTACGTTCGTAGCGATGGCCTCCAACCTACTTGCGATTAAGTGCCAGTTTCGCCAACTCGAGGCAGTTTTCAAGAATCTTCTTGGCCTTACTGGTTGAGCTGACAGCTCTTGCTGTCCGCGTAGCTGGCGTAGCTATCTGGATGTCACTTAAAAGTCCCAAATAAGACAGTCCAAGAGGCTGCATTTTCCGCAATCGCTCCACACGCGAATCATGCGAACTCTGCGAAATTTTGCAGATCTCTTGCAGATCAAGTGGTTCCCTGCGCAAAGCTTGCAGCATGAAAAAGATCCCCTTGAGACAATACTGCAGTTTCTTTGGAGCACTTATTCATACTTATTCAGACTCTTGTTCTTGCCAAGGTAACAAAGGTAATAACGTTTTGAAGGTCCTTGGCCTTGTGACAGCTGCTTTGGTTCAGTGGCAGTCGAGTCCCTCTGCACTGCCACAAGGCGCTTCTATACCATCCAAACGGAAGCCTAGGATTGAAGAAACGATGTGAGATGCCTCAGGCTATTGAAACATCTTGAAACCATCAGAACCCTTGAGACTGCAAAGGCCATGGCTCGACGAGAGCATAGCTCACTGGCCAAGGACATTCTTCTTTGAGACATTTCAGTGATGAAGAAGACTGTATTGTAGAACTTTTTCACCAGGGCCTGCTGGCTGCTCTGCTGGTGGCAGCCCTTTGGACAGCTAGCAATACAGTCGCAGGTGACCTGCGAAGCTGTCGCCCATGAAGCTGTCGCACACAGATTCGAGAGATTCTCTTGGCAAGTGATCAACTCTCCCTTCACGTCCCTTGAAACCTCTGTGTATATGTATATATATGTAATATAATTGGTAGGTGTGTATTCGCCAGTGTATCCACCCCTGGGGTGATGGCAGGTGCTTTGGCCTTTGCCTTTGCGGGACTCAGACTTTCGCAACGCCAGAGCCTGGTCACTTGCTATTCAGGCGCTTCCGCGCAGCTCCGCGAACGGCGCGCCGTCTCCGGCGCGCCGCGCATCGCCGGAGTCGGGTGCGAGACAGAACACAGCGCAATGGTGTTTTCAGACACCGGTGGTGAAGCAGCAGGAACAGTTTGAATCAACAAAACATTTTTGCCGTGTAAGGCACACATTGTTTTGTGGAATGACCTGGCCCAGGCCGTGATTGGAATGCTGGCAATGTGCTGAAGAAGATTGACTTCCAGTCTGGGCCTTCAGTTGGACCGCAGAGAGATTGCTCAAGTGTGACGCTGCACAAGACCTTTCGGACTGAGGGCTGCAGCCGCTCAAGCGAAAGAGCGCGCTGCGAAGAAGAAGGCAAACAAAGGCTTGGTCGCGCGACACTTCCGCGCGAGCTCGCACGAGACGAAGGTCCTGTCTATGCGACACGTCTTTGGAATCGAGAGCATGCTCTTTTGCAGTAGGCCAGGAGGAGAAAAGACGTGAACTCCCTACGATTCACAAAGCTAGTCATGTGCTTAGCATGAGAAGAAGTCCCAGAGATTGCTGGAACGAACGATTCAAAACAGGTGGAACTGTGGAAAGGCATCTTGTTGCAGAAATATGCAGACATCACAGACCAGTTGCTTCAAACGAAGGAGAGGGCGCCGGGCATTTTTTTAACGCTCAGGTCCCGTTTACTACAACGGAGACCAGGCGGAGAACGGAACTTTTGCAGTTGTGTTCTGAGCATCCAAGCTGAGAAAACAGGTGGCCTCGGTGAACGGCACCATGCAGGAGTACAAGGTTTGATAAATCCATGTGATGACTCGGAGGACACACGCGAAATGTGATGAAGTATGTGTGTCGCTCATTTTTTCTTCACTTTGAGATTTGGAAGGTCGACATTTGGAACGGAGTGCATCCTGCGTGGCAAGGAAAGAAGGGCAAGGTGTATCCCACAGAAGAAGCATCCCACGACATGATTCTCAAATACGACATGATTCTCATTTGGGACCCGACCCTCTCGACACTCCCGTCAGGTCCTCCTTGACAACTCAGCCTTGACGAAGCGTGGCACTTATGCCTCTCAACATACCGCATTTGAATGAACAGTCTCATGAAAGGAAGACCGGAGCAAGTGAGAGCTGGGCCGTAATTCACTGCGTCACTGAAACGTTGCATATATGTGCGCAAATGGTGGCGCAGATTCCACATGGCGTTGTGAGGTTTCAAGAGAAATATGGCATGGCTTCTGATGTCTACGGGGAGCAAGGCATGGAGCAAGTGAAGGCGCGGCAGCTGTGGCTTGCTTTTCGCTCCACTCGCACATGGGCTCAACCGAAAGTGCCTTCACTTTTCTACAGATTCTGACTCACCATGCTCCTCAGATGAATCGGGCACGAAAGAAGAAAGCAGAGGACTTTCCCGTTGCTGTATACATGAGTGTTGCGCGACACCTAGCTGGCCGCACTTTGCCAGTCCAGATAATAGTATGTTTGCGAGACATGCCACATGCCCACAACACCGTTGACCATTGGGAAGCAACATCCTGGTTGAACAGGTTGAGGTTCGTGACATGTGCCGACCTTTTGCTTTGACGCGCACTGTGTTGTTTTCACGCACCTGTATTAATTGTTGCCTCAAATCCTCTAGAACTGGGGGTTCGTGGCACAGGCTAAGCGAAAGACATTCGGGAAGCTAAGCGAGTTCTACATGTTTTCTTGCTCAAGTTCCAACAGCCCTATTCTGCTTCTGCTGAAAAAAGCAAAGTCCAGTGTGGTCCTAGAGATAATAATGACATCATTTTGTCTATATACGCTGATGCGCCGTGCATTGCCGTTTGGCGTTGCCTTGGCTAGGTGACACCTGTAAAGGCAAAGGATAGCAAAACATGTGTGTGTTTTTGTTTTTTCGACTCTCTGACAGACTCTCCCAAGGCTAAGTTTGCTTCAAGCAACCAGCGTAGCAGATAGCAGATGATCAGATGCCAGAGTTCGACGAAAGGTTTGCCATCTTGTCGTACGCAAAACACGAGGAGATGGCGGCTCAGGGTCTGAAGGTCTACTGAGTCAACATGTCGGTGGCATTTGCCCGTATTTCAACCGTCTCTTCCAACAGCACGCAAGACCATGGACAAGTCCGATACATAGATGAGTCATGCAGATTATCTTCGATTTACTTGCAACATCTTGCGACAGACCATCAAGCAAACACTGGTGCAATGTAATGTGTCATGTTTCCAAGACAGCGGCTTGTGAAACAGGGCCACTGCCAGGCCACCCAAAAGGCCGCTGTAGGCAATTTCCGGAATTTTCGTGCAGATTTGCATCCTGAGAGGTCCTGTGCTTTTGTGTCAAACTAGTAGACAGGGTACCCAAATCTGCATCACATTTGTTCTGGGGTTTTCACAGATTTGAAACTCCAACTCTCTGGCCAACTCCTTGTCCGCGCAAAATGCGGCAAAGTGCAAGTTCCATGACCTTTCAAGCACCGGATTGCCGACTGGATGTAAAACCGTGAGATGAGCCAAAATTGCGTTGTAGGCATGCAACACATTGACATTTTTGGCCTTTGAGTCCTTGCACTTTTTCCATCGTTTTCCGCAGCTTTGACAGACGAAGAACAGCCAGCGAGCTGAGCAGTTGACAGAGTGCAGACAACATTAAAACATAGTGTTTGAAGTTTGAAGCATTCGTAGTTCTAAAGAGTAAACAAAGTAGCCCTTGAGCGCCTTGACCTATCCTTCATGTTTTGAGCCACTTACATGCGGTTGGGATCATGGCCAAAAAGCCAAAGAAAGCCAAAGCCAGTGGAAGCAAAAAGGCAAGACGCGGAACAAAGCAGGCGGAGCTTGTGGCGTCGATCAAAATTGCGGGTCTCTAGGTCTCACTTGTAACATGTGGAGACCCCCGAAAGGCTAGAAGGCCAAAGGGCCACGGGGTGTCCCTAGGGTCTATATCCCTATTCTACAGCACATCGATGTTTTGCATCTTTCAACTTTGCTTCGCCAAAGGCAAAGGGTGGAGCTGCCAAAGGCCGTCCAGTTGCTGAGTCGGATGGACCGGGATCGTCGGGCCCAAGCCTCGTTCGACAAAGCTGGTTCGACACCCGATGTCGCAGGCAAATCCAGCAAAGCGAAGCAACAAAGTCGAAAGAAGTCACCTGGCAGCTTTCAGAGCGAACTGAGTGAGTTCCGAAACCTGGAGGCATGTGTTTTTTCCTTGAACACGTGTGGTGGATCCAGGACTGCCAAAGGCGGGAAAGCAGCTGGCAAGGGTACAGGGCGGTCGACTGTGAAAGGCAAGGAGAAAAGACCCAGCAAGGGATCAGGCAAAGGATCTGGCAAGATCAAGAAGGCAGGGTTCCAGGGGGTTCCTGTAGCTCTCTGTAGCTCTCCCCCTTGATCCGATACACCGATGGCCTGTCGGCTCTGGAAAGGAAGAGGGAAGAGTGGGAGAAAAGCGAAAGGCAGAGCTGGAAGAGCAAACCACGAAGAAGGCGGATGGGCTTTCCGATGAGCTGACTCGGACTCGACTTGGCAGATTGGTCCAGGGCAAGAGCCTTTCTGGAAAGCAACAAAGGAAGAAAGAAATCACTAAGCTATACGGCTGCTTGGTGTTGATCACAGTCTGGCAGAACTAGGCTTGGCCCAGCATGTTCACTAAGGCGAACTGATCAATCCTGGAAGGACTCTCAAAGCAGATGTCCTTGTCAAGGATATTCTGGAGGCTCTTAGCAAGCGTCTGCTCCACAGAACCGAGGTGAGTGCCTCTCACCCCGCGTTGTGTGTCATGTCGTGCCTTGATGTCGTGTAAAGCCTTTCGTTTTCACGAACTGAAGGCTCTTCTACACTAGCTGAGTACTGCTCCACCAACCTTGGGGCTCACGTCATTGAGGCATCGTCATCGTCGTGTGTTGGGCCGTTCTGCTCGCGATGACGAGGGGGTTCGTCATCGGGTCGTTCCGTTATTTGACAAGTTATTGTGGTCGTGGTGATGGTTGGTGGAGTCAGTTGTACTTGCAGTCGTGCTTGTCAGTGTCGTGTCTTTGGTGTCAGCAGGAGCCACAGCAGCAGCAGCACTCACTATTGGTGGGAGTGGTAGCAGTGTCATAGGAGTAGGAATAGTTGTGGGGGTGCAGCAGCCGCAAGCAGTCGCAGCAGCAGGAGGAGGAGGAGGAGGAGGAGGAGTAGGAGAGTAGGACTAGGAATGGGACGGCAGAAGTTGTTGCTTTTGTTGGCTTTTTAAATTGATTAGCAACGGTTGTTTGTTGTTACTATCTAATTACATAGTCTACGAATAGTTCCAAGCAGCAAGAGAGGCACTGCATCCAGAGTAATGCAATGTTGATTGGTCATGATGTGAGACTGCGGCAAAACAATTGACTCTGCAAGGCGTGTCTAAAATGGGGCACTCGAAATCAAAGGCACGAGAGACAAGCACCTAGTGAGGAATGCATGATCCTGATGTGCAAGTCAAGTTGGCTTTTTTCCTGTTTACGCAAATCCTGTTTGTCCATTTAGCCTTAGCGGAGGCAAGACTTGCTTTCCCGGTGCTCGAGCGATCTGATAAAGATGGCTCAAGACAGATATGGGCACCAGGCAGAGAGCTAAGATAAGTCACGTGAAAAGGAGCTAGGACTGCAAGGAGCTTTGATTTTTGCCTGAGGTGGTGCTCAAACTGTTGCTGTACTCTTCAAAAACGTCTGCACAAAGAAAACCAACCGACGAGGAGAAGAAGGTGCCCCGACGGAATTTTCTCACTCCCTTGCTCACCATTTTCTCTTCCTTTGTGTGTTCTTCTATCTCTCCACCTTTGCCTTAAAACGATGGGCTTTTACCGATTCGCGTTTTCTTTCTGTGCAATCTCTGCCGGCGTGAGTTCAATAATTGTGTAGGTTTGCAGTAATCTGCCTAAATTCAAAAGGCTGAGTTAGACTCGGATTGAGAACCCGTGGAGGCCCAGTCAAAGAACTTGCGAGAGATTCTGGACAAGTTTTCAGGATGCTTGGTGGTGTCAGCAAGAGTTGAAGAGAGAATAAGAGTGGTACAGATAGGCTCACGTGCGCATCTCTTTCACCCGCAGGAAAGAATCTTCACGCAACCTTCTTCCACAGATATGGCTGTCGCGTGATCAATGGCTAATGTCTCAGAGGTGAAGTGTCGCTGAAGCAGATGACCTGTAATACTCCGCTCCTCAGGTCTATACTACTCCACTACTGTTTCGACCTTGGGCCCCAACGCAAGACTGAACTACCGGATTGTTGCCTTGATACTGCCGAAATGAGACATCGAGGTGAAAGCAAGCGACAAGCGGCGCCTGTTGCATAGCATTGCCATACCTCAGGCTCGTAGATTGCTGTTGTCAAGGCCAACCTTTTCCGAGGTTAAAACATGTTAAAAACTAATTCTCTTCCCTCCCTTGCTCCCTCGCGCCCTTCTCTCTCTCTCTCTCTTTCTTTTTCCCCAGATAGCTGCAGGCTATAGGGGTTCTAACTTCTCAATGGTGTCGCTCTGGATCGGCGTTTTGGTTTTGCGGGTGCTGCTGCCATACTGATGCTGGTGCAGGTGCTGGCTCTGAATCCGCGTTTTGGTTTCGCAGTTGCTGCTGCCGTACTGATGCTGGTGCATGTGCAGGTGCTGGCTCTGAGACTCTCGATCGGCCTTTTGGTTTTGCGGGTGCTGCTGCCATGCTGATGCTGGTGCAGGACATCATGTCATGCCAGGGATGGCATCTTGCCATGCAAGGGATGACATCATGTCATGCCACGGACGACATCACGTCATGCCCAGGGATGACATCATGTCATGCCCAGGGGTGACGAACCTATACACCCGCTATCTGGGGCCTATGCCGGTGTATTTCTATATGTTTTTCTTTCTTTGCTTTCTTTCTTTCAACGACTTGCTTTTTCTTTCTCTCTCTCTCTCTCTGTTTGCCGCTGCTTGTCTCCATCTCTCTCCCTGTCTCTCTACTACACTTTGGCACCTGGTCATAGGCAGTCGCCTTACGCCGACCAGAGCTACCAAGCAGCAAGACCCTGCGAGAAGTGCTACAAGCAGAGGCTGTGTCATGTAGCCCACACAATGCGAAGCAGACACACAAGATCACACAACTCTAGAATTTGTGCATGTTCGAAGCTAAATTGGCACTTCGAGAGCAAATTGGAGCGATTTGGGGTTTGCACTTTGCTTGTCGTGGCCATTGGATTCACTTCCCCTTCCGATCGTGGCCATTGCGCTCTACCAGTCATGCCAGTGATGTTGCCAACTCCATGTACAAGGTTCTTCTTGTACCTCGTGCACACCCTAGTAGGGCCACGTCAAAGAACAAACTTACCACCTGGACCCACCCTTTATGACAGCAGGGTTGCAGGGTCCTAGATTTTAGGAGAATCTGTTCACACCAAAGTGCAATGCTGCAAGATACAGGAACGTGTTTTTCATGTTTCCTGTCAGGACTTGACAGAACAACAAAGAACGGCCATTGCGCAGCATTTGCAAGAAGCCGTTGAAAAGGCCATTGAGAAGGACCGGCGGCTCGCGTGGAGATGTGATGAGTCGTGGTGAGTCGCCGGTGGACGAGAGGAGCTCTTGGGGCTAGATATCGTGCACTTGCTGCTTCAGGAGAATTTGTTGCATTTACGGTCAAAGAGAAAATGGGGGTGAAAATTCTGCGAGTGATGAATCCAGGCTTTCTGCGAAGTCGCTACAGACTCACAACTCACCCAGCTTGCAGAGCAATGTATGGTGCAGATCTCAGCAAATTGTGGCTGTTGCCGCTGTGCAAGAACTGGTGATACAGTGAGCAGCGAAACCATGTTAAGTTTGCATTATCTTCCGACCAACAAATCCGTTGGTCACCAAGCGCAAAGACACTTTAGCATGTCAGGATGGTGCGGCGTATCTCCTCTCATCGAAAGCTGGAGCTGAGGCACCACTGCACAACACCTTTGAATCGTCTATACTCGAGTCTTGGGCCACCTTCCATTTCCAGGATGTACTCCATGGTCATTCCTCCCTAGTCTATCTACCTATCTTGATAGTGTAGACTCGACAATTCATGTTCGCCAACCTTGGCTCAGCACCACGTGCTATGCTTGGCGCACAGCGAGGCGTTGCTGAGACTTTTGGGAATTGCCAATGCCAAGCAGCGGAAGGCCCGGAACATACAAAGCGCATCAAAGCACGACCTGAGGAGGCAAAGGCAAAGGCAGCCAGGCTAGGCAGCTAGGCAAGGCAAGGCTACCGGCGACCAGCGACGCCGCGCCAGCCGGTGCGGCTTTTCCAAGGCCTTGTGCAGAGACCTGAAGGGGAAATTCGCCGCGCTGGCCAAGAACGCCGTGGACTATGTGGCCTCTAGACTGGAAGTGGCGTGCAAATGGGGGGTCTTTGGTACCGGCATTATATAGGTAGAGCCGTCCACCGCGGACGGGAGTAGTTCAGAAATCGACTCCGGACTCACGCGTGTTCGGCTTGCTGAATCGTCGAAGAGGGAGATTGATGTGGGATGATGTGGGTACTTCTTGAGGTCATGATTCGGCTTGCAACGACCGTGGATGACACGGTCATGCTTTCCAAGAGCATGGTCGCTGAATGGGTGCAGGACGCCGCTGGAGACTGCTCTGGTCCAGAATTTCA